GATGCAACCAGCCTGCATGTTGTGACTCAAGTAATACACCTCTTCTCGCTGGCGGCAGACATGAAAGTAAATTGGGGGTCTAAAACACAAGGATGGTGGTTGCACCCCCAAGGTCAGCCCCCCCCCCTCGAACCGAATGTAGCATGGGCCGCCCGGCAAGAGGCTATAAGGATATTGGGGGTGAGACTCACGGCCGTTGGGCCCCCACTGGACCATGGGGACACATTGGTCAACACGGTGGTCGATCGCCTGGCCAGATGGGACGGACTGCACACATCTTTGGTAGGCCGGGCCCTTGCAATCAACAACGCAGTCCTGGCAGCCATCTGGTATAAATTGGCAATGTGGCCACTAAAACCCCAGCAATACACCAAACTGAAAAAAACACTCACAACCTACCTGTGGAAGAATAGTGCGAACCCTCCAAATTGCTTGAGCAGAGTCGGATGGGATATTCTCACCCTCCCACGAAATGCAGGGGGACTGGGGATATTGGACCCGAAAAGGGAAAGCAAGGCCTTAATCTTCAAAGTCCTTGTTAGGCTCCTTATGGGCAACGATATCCCGTGGGGGCCCCTAGCTTGTATGCAAATATCCAATCTGGCCCCACAAACTGCTGCTCCACACTGGGTGCACCCGTTCAGATGGCTCACCAACTCATGCTGGTCGATCCCCGCCCCCCCACAACGGATACATGCCAACACTCATGTGCAGGCCACTAGACAGGATATCCTTCTTGACCCCATGTGGCCCAACATGCTCAAACTTTGGAGGAAACGAGGCCCAAAGATGAAGCAGCCACCAAACAGATGGCACAATGTATGGAGGCAGCCACTATTTGGCAACCCGTACATCCTCGACAGTGTAGGTAGCCCCTTTACCCTCAATGCTAATTCATCCTGGCTCACTTGGGCCGAGAAAGGGATTTTCACTGTCGGAGACCTATGGGACCCGGCCAAAGGTGATTGGGTCACTGCGGACCAGCTGCAGCACAAACTAAAATATGCTAAGTCGGTGGGGGTCAAAGCTAGTCAGTTGACGGAGGCTATCCCGCTCTCCTGGCATCTTGCCCTCAAAAGAGATCCCTCAGTCCAACGAAATGACTGGGTGGTTAACTTTGCTGACCGTGTCCGCTCTCGGGTCATATATAGAGTCCTCAATACGAATGCAGGCAGATGCTCATTGGAGGCCTACCAGCCCCAGCTCCCGGATGCCAGGTTCTCTAAAATTGTCAGAGCTGAAGATCTGGACGTCACTGAGGGATGGGGAGGGCTTATGCAAGTAAGGGTGGTGGGGGACACTGAAAAAGGATTCAATGTGTACGAGCCAACCACGCCGGTGGCAAGGCTCCAATTCGACCCGGACGAATGGGAATGGCCAGGCCATGAGCCCATGAGCTTCTGGGAGTACTCGGTTAAAGGGGCCTACTGAGCCTCGTGCCCGGAATTACCCCTTAACCAAATTCTGCCCCGAAGATGGGAACGGGACTCACCGCTGAATGCACAATTGGTGCAGAATCTGTCGTGGAAAACCTACCCAAAATTCATGCCAACTAACCTCAGATCTCTCCAATGGCAGATTCTGCACCACTGTCTCCCCACCCCCGATTGGTTGGTATCCAGGACGAACCTGGAACAGAAAGGGTTGCTGTCCCCCATTTGCTCTTACTGTGGCGGAGCGACGCCGTCGGCAAGGGCGACACTGGAACACTGCCTGCTGGCATGTCCTATGGCCACCCAAATATGGCAATGGTGGGACGCCGCGTTTCACTCGCTCACTGATCACCACATACCGTGGGACCTGGGACTAATCCTCCTGGGGAAAAACCAGCAGCTGATGGCCCAATGGTCTCCCTACGCAGTCAATCTTTTCAGTTATATGCGGCTCCAGGTTCTGATGCTCACGTGGCGAGCAAGGTGCGCCTTCGAAAGGAAAGACCACCAATTTGGCCTGCAACAAGCCCAACAGGCAATCGAAGAAGAGATCAGAACCAGAACGCAGGGAGCATGGAAAGAAATGAAACAGGCGAGTTTTGAGGAAAAGGACCACACAGCCAGGGCGACGATTATTTCAGTTTACCGTCAGCTGTGGCAAGATCCACACAACAAATTCTCTGACTTAACTGACAGACTGGACATCAGGTGGAAGCCATGGAGGGCCGCAGAAGCTTCTTGGCAAAGAAGGCCCTTTGCCTGTTTTGAGGTCCCCTATCTCCCGACGAATTTTGCGCTAATTAATAACTGAGTCCTACCCCTTTGTCACCCCCCGCCGGACACTGGTTCAAACCTTCCTATCCCTTTTTTCCAGCCCCCTACTCCCATCCCCCCCCGCCGCTGTCTGTGTGACTCCATCTCGACCCCGTACATCATAGCACCCCGGCTTCGGGAGATGGTCACAGTATCAGACGTCAGACAAAGAGTCTTCGGACGACTGGAAGGACCGAAGGCGCCCTCCATCATCCCTACAGATACAACGACAAGCCTGGACAAGGGGGCACTTTAGGCAACCTACAGAACAACGTCAGCTGGAGAGGGTGGTATGATACTCAGACGGGGGGACCAACAGTAGGGCCTGCAAAATTTCGCAGTGTAACAGGGGTTAACTGGAATTTCTCGGGTTACGGAGTTGGACCAAGTTCCAGCTGGGGCAACTCTCGCTTAGGCCTGCGAAGGTTGGGCAATACGGCAATCAAATGCTGCACAACAATCTGTCTTGTGCATGCCACAGTGCTGGTTCATCAATTACTGAGGACTACAGTAGAATGCGCAGGTGGCATGTGATATATCATTGGAATGGTTACAGGGACGCTGGACCCGTTTTCCAGCAGGTGACGACTAAAAAGCATAAAAAAGAAGGATGTATCCAATGGGACGCTGGACCCGATTTCCAGCAGGTGCAGCTCCCCATCAATAGATGGAGCCTCCCCGACGGTGCTAGTTGTGCCTGCTCTTATCAGCACACCTAGCATCCGATCAGGTAGTTAAAAAAAAAAAAAAAAAAAAAAAAAAAAACTGCCAGATACTACAAATAAAGCAAGGAAGACGGAGATAAACTGCTGATTGGATCCTGATCCGCCTCTTATGCCTCTGGAGCCCCGCATAGGTGTGGAAAACAACAGACAGCGGCTCACTGAGCGGTTCCCAGGGGGTCTCGCGTAGCCCTGAGATTTTGTTGTCCATTCTGAAGGGAGCCCCTCGTTCCTTGGGGGGTAGCCGAATTGTGCCAGTCTTTCCATCTGTTTGTAAGGCTTGAATTTCTGCGCTCTTTCCCTGGACCAGCCACACCCTCCTGAACTTAGCTATCGTTTCTTGTTGCTTGTCCAGGTCCTGCTGAATTTGAAGCTCGACTTTCTTCCACTGGCACCGGATGTCAGTCTCCATGAAGAGTTTCGTTGATGCCCACACTTGTTCCGACGGCAAGCTGGAGTTGTCAATGGTCCGGCTGCACCTCTCCTTCCATATGACCCATAGCATCACTTTTCGCGCACCAGATGCGCTCAGACTTGTTGAATTGATAGGGGAGGTTAGTCCACAGGAGTAACTGGATGGGGTATTCAGGTAGAGAAGAAGGGAACAGGTGATCCCAGAGTGCTGAGGCTCTCGCCCATAGGTCAGTAGCCAGTTGATAGTTAACTAGGCAATGTATTAGGTCCTCCTGTACGTTGTCAGGGCATGCTACATATTGTTCCGAACTATTTGGTTCACTGTTTTTTTCTACGAATGTGTAGCCAGGCGTTCACTGGGAGTGCATTGTAAGTAGTCAGCCATTGGAGACTTCTGATCTTGATTGGGCGAATTGTTTTTACTTTCCCCAGGGACCTGCGGGGATTGGTTCCATTCTCTGTCCTAAAAGTTTTTCCCATCTCCCCTTGATGACCGGCTCGGGGTCCTTCATTTTTAGTAGCATTCTGTAGCCCATTTTAACTGAGTGCTGTGTAGTCAATATGTTTTTTTTACAGAATCTGTTACTGCCTGAGAGCCAGGCCCATTCTTCTGGGTCGAATTCTAAGTTTTGGATTGCCGTTTCGACTTGGAAGATTGTCTTTGGCCATATCCCCAGTACCCTCACTTTCCAGAGTGTGTATGAGTTGAGGGTTATCTCTTGTGGATGGATGTCAATTCGACTTGGAAGATTGTCTTTGGCCATATCCCCAGTACCCTCACTTTCCGGAGTGTGTACGAGTTGATGGTTATCTCTTGTGGATTGAATCAGATGTTGTTGATAGTGAGAGCTTTGGGATTGGAGCGGTCAATAGGGAAGGAGGTGAAGACTCCCAAAAGGTCTGTGCCTGAAGGTCTACGGTAGAATTGGTATGCTTTTTCTGGTATGACCTCCTTAATTCAGACTCCCCACTCCCCTGCTTTCCATGTGAAGTCCTCCTTCAGGAGTTCTTTCCATCCATCAGGGATGCTGTTCACAACAGTTGTTAGGTTCTGGTCTCTGTTGTGGCATCCTTTTAGGTGTTGTCTCAGTTGGTCCTCGTCAATCCAATCTTTCTTCTCTTCATCCCAGATGTGTCCCACCCTCCAGATTCCGTGCTTGATCCACGATAGCCACCACTGACCATTAGATAAGGAAAGAGGTAGGTCCCCCGCATCTCTTATGCACTGATTCCCGAAGAGGGGCTGTCACATCACCTCTTCTTTGGATTTGGGTTTTTTAACTGTTTTCTGTCATGATGCCTCTCCATATCCGAATCAGGGCCGACCAGTAGGGAGCTGGGGGGGTGCCATCATTTTGTTGTGAGTTTGGACTATTGTTTAAAAAAAAAAAAAAAAAAAAAAAAAAAGGGAAAACTTCCCTCTCCAAATTTTGAACAGAAGTCAAAGTCCGACCTCCAACCAGATCAAATCCTAAAATTTAAGTCATGCTGTCTCAGTAAGACAGCTCACTGATTCAGCCTTTTCTTGCAAGACATTCATCCATCAATGACCTAGATAAAAGAGCAATTGATCATGGTCATGGTTTGTTCTTTTCTATTCGGCTGGGTTGCATTACAGGCGTAATGGTGCAGCCTTGGCCTGGTGTCTTCGAGTGAATAGACTGGTACGCAGCCTTGATCTGGAGGACAACAACCTAGACGAGCATTGTGCCCGAATGTTTGTGGTTGCCCTTGCACGCAACCATACTGTGACAGACCTGGACGTGTCCCGGAATCCTATTGGCCCCAGAGGTGCCAAGACAATTGCCACCCTTCTAGACTGTTCCTTCACTTGGACACAGTCATCCACTCCTGCAACCACCACAGGCCTGTCTCCTGATCTGGTGGAACTTCTCACAGACCTCGAGGCATCATTGGCTTTCAGCTCAGGGGGTAAGGAGTACGTGGCAGAGAGCAAAGAAGGACCGCGTAGCCGCCGGGCCATTGGATCACTGCAGCGAACCCGCTCCGCCAAGTCACAAAGGCGAGTTGTCACTCCAAGGGACACTGTCTTCGGCCTGCCACACAGGCCATGGCTTAGAAGGCTCGTTCTCTGCAAGTGTGAAATTGAAGATGAGGGCACTGTTGCAATTGCAGCTGCTTTGTCGGGCGGGTCACAAACGTTGCAAGAGCTGGAGTTGTGGGGAAATAGGATTGGCGACCTTGGGGGATGTGCTATGGGGGAGATGTTGCGCACAAACCGCACCCTCCAAATATTGGACCTGTCTTGGAACATGCTCAAGGAATCTGGTGCGTGTGGACACTTGCCTGTTTTTTTCCCCAGTTTCATGCTCTCCTCCCTTCCACCCCTGCCCTTCTTCTTTTGAGTGTGAGCACTGTGGAGGTGAAAACCTCTTTCACTTGCTGACGTGGTTAATGTGAAAATGCCAATCATCTGATCGGCCCTGACGGAGGAAACTTTGGCTCGATTTGTGTTCAATTTGACGTTTGCGCAATGATGTCGCCAAGTCACGCCAAATTACATGTCCATGCAAGCTCACAAATCGTCACTCCAACCTTCAGACATGAGATACAAAAGGACCACAACATGAAAAACTCGAAAGTTATTACTATTTCAAATCAAGAGTGGAACGCG